AGGGAGGGAACTGGATCCCCTGGAACTGGTCAGATAGGTGCGATCTGCCATGTGAGTGCTGGTCTTCCACAAGAGCAGCCAGTGCTCTTAACTGCTGAGACATCCCTCTAGCCTCAAGCCCCAAATTTTAAACAGTACACAAATGATTTATAAAGAGGGAAGTTGGCTGATCCTCAGCTCCAGCGGATCTAGCTGGTAAATGGTCTTTGAGAGTAAGCTAGAAGCCTGTAGGCTCGGTCAGGCTGATTGATGTATTTTGTTCGGCCAATGATGTCTTAAAGACTGAGACCATTTGGGCTGTTGAGACAGTTCAGCTGGTACAGGTGCTCGCTGCCACGTCTGACCTCCTGGGTTCTATCCCCAGTACTCACATGGGAGACAGAACCAACTCTACAGTTGTCCTCCACTCTTCACGTGTGATGTGGCACGCATGCACGGACACACACAGAAATAAACATTTTAACTTTTGTTTTAATTGGGAAAACTCATATCTTTTTTGCAGCTAAAAAAAATCAAAAGACAGAATTGGCCATACCCAAAGAACAGCTGCTCTGTGCATGATCTTTCCAGTTGACCACAGTCTGTGCCTTGCCCTAACACCCCCTACAGGCTCTCACTGACTGCGCTTCTTGTTCAGAAGCTCTTATTGGGTGTGACACTGTTCCACGTGCACACACCTGTCCTGCTCTCACAGGGACATGGTCCCTCTTTCTGAGGCTCGGGTACATTGCACTGTATGATGTCTGACATGGTTTACCCATCTCTCTCCTAAGCATCACATATAAAACTGACTGTCTCCACAGGATAAACTGTAATGAACAGTCTTTATTTGCTATCAAGTGTTACAGGATAAACACTTAGAAATACGGGCTGGAGAGATGGCTAGAGGTTAAGAGCACCGACTGCTCTTCCAGAGGTCCTGAGTTCAATTCCCACATGGTGACTCACAAATAACTCTAAGGAGATCTGGCGCCCTCTTCTGTATACATAATAAATAAATACTTAGAAATACACCCGTTAAATGCATTTAGGTGTATTTTATTAATGAATTCTCTCACATTTATTTGTTTGTGTGTGTATGTACGTGCACGTACACACATCACAGTGCGTGTGTGTGGAGGTCAGAAGACAACCCTTGGGAGTGGATTCTTCCCTTTTGCCAAGATCAAACTCAAGGCGTCAGGCTTGCTGGCAGCCACCTCAGCCCGCTGAGCCATCTCTTCTGCTCAGTATTCCAGTAAATTTTAAGACAGAGATCTAAAATTGAGGAATTAATTTGAAAGGTATCACAAAACCGTCAGGGTATAGGAATTCGCATCCTCAGAGCACGCATGCCTGGTTTTAATCTGCTTCGCTCTCGTCCCGCGGGGACCACCGTCCTGATGTGCTCGGCATTCCCTCTATGTCATCTGCCGTCCTTTCCCGACTCTTTGCTTGCTTCTTTTCCTCTGCTTTTGTTGGTTTTTAAACATTCTTTATATAGGAAGGACGTTTATATGCGTGAGCTGCCAACTTTTTTCAACATGCTCATCTTTAGATTCTATTTCTGGGGGAGAAAATAAGTAACCTCATTGCAGTCACATTTAGAATTCTCTTTCTC